CGTCGCGCTGGCTCTGTAAGTGATATGTGTTTTGAAATGGCGTGTCGCCATTCGTGGCTCTATGCGGGCAACCAATCGGGAAGCGTCATTGTAACAAAACTGCATGGGCCGACTTTAAGAGCACTGTGATGCAGCGGCGGCATTGCTTCGAGCCACGAAGAAGCCCGAAGGAACAAATGTGACAGATGAATGATATTGGAGTGGCAAACGCGTCTATCGCGTCTCCGGTAGAAAGCGCTCGGAGGCACGTGGGATGCTAGCAGCGCGACCTCTCATAACAACGTTACTTCAGCCGTTGCCTCATATAGCGCCGCATCACGATCACTCCCTGCATTATGGCACACCAAAGGCTCGCGTTTAGAAGCGCGCACTTGCACTGATATCGAAATGAAGGAGCCGTCTCCTGGGTTAACAAGAAATCATAAGCACTCGTAATCTGAGGCGTTCCAGCCCTTCACGGGGCGCCGTGCGGGTACATGGTGTCTACGGTCAGCGCCGAACCGGTCGGACACTGACTGAATGCCGTTCGGGCAATGCTGCGAGCCGAAGCAAATGCAGCGCAGCGGCTGGCATGCCTGCCCAAGCTCACCGCCCAAAGTAAATAAAAGTGAACTAAAAATGCGACGCAATCACTTCTTAACGTCGTCCTACTGTGGAGGGTGTCGAGGTTTTGTTACACCTTCATGTTTTCATATGTAAGACACGTTTCTTATACTATAAACTTTCAGTGGTTAGACAGCGCTTGTGTCGTGCACTTTCTTGTGTTTTTTCTCCTTTTTGTGCATTGATTGCAATGAGTATGTTCCAACTAGCGCAATTTGCTACTGTACCCGCTAGGATTACGGTAGTTTCCGACCATGCCGCTCAGTGGTACGTACCCGTTAAGATGATAGTTTTGTAGACTCACGAGGAACAATTAGGTGAACAGATTCTCTGTCAAAAATTAGCCCGTAACGTGCCCTCTTTCGCATCGTATAACAGTGCCTTCTAACGGTCGGCGTGAAAACGTCCATAATAATTGGTAGGATGTGCTGCCTCGACAGGGCCGCCAAATTGGTGTTGGCTGTGCTTTGACGCACGCTGAGCTAGTGTCAACGCAGGCGATAAGTGCCACATATGCTTGTCGCTATTATAAACAGCAACGAGGAAACGAAACATTAACAAGCACAAAAATCACGGCGTGAATAAAGGCGTTCAAGCGGGCCTGTAGCGTGTCTCTTTTTTGTATGTTGTAGGCATATTTAGCAAGCACCATATTCTAATTTCGATTGCATAGAAAGTCAGAAAGTGTCGAATCAAACGTACCACAAACTTTTTCTTTGCAACTTTTTGCCCAACCTCGTTGATTCGATAGTTATTTACACACGCCTAACCAGTGCGACATAGTCCCGACAGTAGTCAACCACGTCCTTTCGTAGCGTCGTCATACAGTGCTAGGCATGTTTTTAAACTCTGGGCAGAGATATCTGGGCTTTCATGCACTTGCTTAAAGTACCATAAAAACGCCTTAAAATAACAAGAAAAATATCAAAGTATTCTTTAAACGGTGTACATGAAGCAATCGCCTTCCGCAGAAGGGCTGAGTTTTATCCGCTCGATAGAAAATACCGTCTTGTGCACAGAAGAGAAAACAAAGCTGACATTTAATACCCTATAGCAGAAGCCCTGTAATGTATGCTTTTGTAGCTGTGTTAGCACCAGGATAATGATGAGTAGGCGTTTTTATTAATTTTATTTAGGGCATACTGCAGTCCCTAGACCAAGCCGGAGAGACGAAAAAAATAGGAAGAGTGAAAAGAACGTTGACAAATTATACAGCAAGTTTTATAATTATCTCACGCCACAACCAAAAAACAAGCTCATGATAAGTAAGGTGAAATAAATATACCCCACTAGAAAAAAAATGTACACACAGCCCTAGAAGCAGTGTAAAGTTCAAAAGTAAAGCAACACAACTGAAATAATGAGGTGATAATATTTAGCATTGCATTAACAAGGTTGCCTAATCGAAACGAAGCATTTACTTTTCGAAGTCCAGAATGCCATACTTAGAAAAAGCATATTTAGGCAATCAAGCGTCTGAAGGGAATATTGAACTGAGAAAGGATCCTTTGACAACGTTCCATGAGATTACGTCCAGCTGCAAGCTCAGTCGAAGGCGTTTTCTCCTTTATGATGCTAGCTCAACAGAGCCCAGGGAATCACTTTTCGACTCTTACAGGCGGGCACATATCTCTGCCCACTAACGTATCACAGGACAGAGCCGGACTTTCACGAAGGGTGTATTCGTTGTGACCTCGAGAGTTGCTCGCTAGCACCACATGCTTTGGCAGTGTTCTGCGATCATGGGCGCTGATTTATGCGATGAGGACTCGTGGCGGCGGAGCTTACACAGCGCTGACTTGGGTCTACACCTGCTGCCTGTCCGGAGGGCCCGTGCCATCGCGGGGGGTTTTCACCTTCCTGTGCCGACCTTGGTAGAGTTGCCGACTCGTTGAAGGGGATTTGGGACCTTGTTCAACTAGTACCGCTGGTGTTCAAATAAAGTTCTTCATATGTATGCAGGCAATGTATTCTGTTTGCAACGGTTAAAGAAGGAGTGTTTGAAACGGTTATTACATGTAAGGTGCGGTGTGAGGTCGTGCTTGTGACTACGGCTGGTTTGCCTGGAAAAAGACGGAGAGAGGTGTTCACGAGGATTGATATTAAGCTGCCGATTTTGAAGCAGGAATAGAAACTGGGGTTTGGCGATAGTTCTTCACTGTTTCAAGAACAGAGTGTTGTCAGTAGTCATGCGCGATGAAGATAAATCAAAATTGGGCTAGGCATTATAGATTAATCTAACCGCCCTCCTCTGAATCATTTGCCCACTCCAGGACTATGGCCTCTACCACATCACGTCACGTTCTGTGTCCGCTTAGTCCAATTTATGCTAATAAATATCTTCATTTTATCGCTCCACATATCCTTTCACCACCCTTCTTCGCGCCTTTCATTTTTTGTTATCTGTTCAGACGTTCTTTTTTATGGGATTCCAAATGAACAACACTGTTTGTTCGAGAGCACCAGAATACATATTTACAACAACCTACGTTGTTTAGTTAATTTTTAAAATAAAAGTGCCCGTGCAATTGATGAGACATGTAAGGCGTAATCATCTCCTTGGCACACTCAAGACGAGCAACCTTAAGGAAAAGTTTCCGCCCGCAGGAACTACAGTAAATGGGTCGCCAAGGGGAGGGGAAGTGGTGCTGCATAAATGTTGCGTATTTCGGTATCGTTTGGGAAGGCTTGATGGTTATTTGAACTTTATTATTTTTATCTAGTGAGCTAAGAAGCAGCGTTGCCTTCAACGTCGAACGCGAGCCAAGTAAGTACGCCCTTGACTGAATTCCGAACGCGTGATCCGGTGCATACATAAACGGAGTTGCGAGTGAATGGTAGTGTAGCGCGAGCAGTGGTTTATCTTTTTTGCTAGCAGACGCTGTTTGCGTCGGCCTTGCGAGGCGATAGAGGGGGTGGGGAGCGACGGTTATGCGGTGTCTTCTTGGGCCGGCATGAGACACGAGCATGTACAGTGGGGGTGCGGACGGGGCCACGGCTGACACCAAAGTGTGGCATCGTGTGACTAAGAAATGCTCCGCATTTCAAAAACGTCCAACATCCAAACATCTAGATCAAGAAAGAAGGTTCGAAAATTTCCCGTATAAAACTGGTGATGAACTTCCACAGGGACTGTGATAAGGAGTGCAATTTTTAAAGATGCCACAAGGCTTCTCAACTTTTAAGTGGTCACGAAAGCGGCGGGTAGCACTCACACGTTTCCAACGAATATCCTCTTAGAATTATTGTAATACACATTTATGCCTCAGGTAAGACAACTCCACGACTGCCTGAACGTTCCCATTTAGCAGCAGTGTAACAGCTAGCCTCGTTGTATGCAGCATTCTGCCAAAATGTAATGTTTCACATCACGAATAAAGATTAAGATATTAACAGCAAACTTACAAATCAAACCAAATGAGGATATTCCCGTTGCATTCAGTAACTGTCTCATGTACCATATGAAGATTGCCAATTGTATCAAAAACAATGAATCATGGTGAATTCTAAGCGAACAGCATTTACTTGTACACAAGAAATTAGATAGCCACCCGAAAGGTAAACAGCTGTTACTACGAAGGCCATGGTATATGGGATGCAGGGGCATCTATGTTACTACGGCCATGATAGTAATGTATGAGAAAGCACATAATGAGGAATAGAAGTTGGGAATATGAAGTCCGGGTATTCGACTTGATATCCATAACGAAATACTGCGCTGTTTTTATAGCGCTATGATTTTGTTTTGTTTCATTGTTGCGGGAAATGTCACCCATTATTTTTTGCCAAAGAAGCATACCTTAGGGTAAAAGGGGTTGCCGGATTCCCCTCATATTATGATTATGTGCCATACTAACCTTTAATCTGTGCAGTATCGCCAGCCATCACAGACCCTTCTACGGGATCATACTGCTTGGAAAATGATCCTCATGAACAAAAAGAGTCCTCCGGGAGGGTGAATCGGTTACAGTGCTCACCTGGTGAGCCGAGGGTCATGAGTTTGATCCCGGCTGCGGCTGTGGAATTTCCGTGAAGGCGAATTCATAGAGGCCCCCACACTGAACGACGTCACTGCGCCTTAATGAAAAATGGACAGTTGAAATTTTCTGATCTTTCCACAACAGCGTGCCTCGATATCATAGCGTGGTTTTACGTCGCAAAGCCTTCGCTCTAATTGTGAACAACAAGAGTTCTGAAAGTCTAAATACTTTTATTTGGCAACAAAACTTAACAATATGAACAAATAACATAATCTCAATCTATCCTTGGTGTAGAAGAGCCATGTCCTTCGAAGAGCAGACTGACTTCTGCAAGAAAAAGCATGACCCACGTTAAACGTTATTTTGAATTGCGTAACAATTCACCGAGCCATTGAATAAATTTTCTGTTTTACTCACACTTCTTCCTGCGGAGGAGGGTGCTGTAGTAAAAGGGAGTGCCGAGACCATAGCCATAGTTCAGGCCATAGACACCAACACCATGGCCAAGTCCATAGTGGCCAGTGCCGTAGCCGAGGCTTCCAACACCGTAGCCGTAGACTGGAGCAGCCTGGTAGGTAGCGAAGGCTGGGACGGCGTGTGCGACAGTAGAAACTGCTGGGGCGTGGTGGAAAGTGGTGGTTGCCACAGCTGGGGCAGTGTGAATGGTCGCTACAGCTGGGGCAGTTGCGTAAGTGTTCACTGGGGCAGCATGGGTGACAGGGGTCACAGCTGGAGCAGCAGCCACCACTGGAGCTGTCTGGAAGACTTTGGTCACAGCTGGGCCAGCGTTGACGGTAGCCACAGCTGGAGCAGCGGCATAGGTAGTAACTGGGGAAGCATGGGTGACAGTGGCCACAGCTGGGGCAGCAGCCACCACTGGAGCTGTCTGGAAGACTTTGGTCACAGCTGGGCCAGCGTTGACGGTAGCCACAGCTGGAGCAGCGGCATAGGTAGTAACTGGGGAAGCATGGGCGACAGTGGCCACCGCTGGGGCAGATGCCACCACTGGGGCCGACTGGAAGACTTTGGTGACGGCCGGAGCAGCGTACGCAGCCACAGATGGAGCAGATTGGAAGGTAGTGAGGCGAGAGACGGCTGGAGCAATGGCCACACTGGCAACAGCCGGGTCAGAAGAGACAACTGGAGCACTCTGATAAACCTTGGTCCCTGCTGGGGCAGATTGGTAGCTGACACGGGAAACAGCTGGGGCAGCAGCAACGACTGGACTAGACTGGAAACGTCTGGTGCCAGCTGAGGAAGCGAAGGTTCCGACAGCTGGGCTGGACTGGTAGGCAATGCGGGACACAGCTAGATTACCAGAGACAGCCGCAGTATTCTGGTAAACCTTAGTCACAGCTGGCGAGGCCTGGTAGCTGACGCGAGAAGAAGCTGGCGCAGCAGCAACAACTGGAGTGGTCTGATAAGTGGTGACGTGGGACACGGCAGGAGCAGCGTTGAAGGTAGTAGACACAGCAGGGGCAGTGGCAACGACTGGAGCGGACTGGTAGGTAGTCACGTGAGATACAGCTGGAGCAGTGGCAACGGTGGCGACTGGAGCAGCGGCATAGGTAGTGATAGCTGGAGCCGCGTGAACAGCGGTGACAGCTGGTGCAGCATGGACAGTGGCAACGGCTGGAGCAGCATGGTAAGTGGAGACTGTACCAGTAACAGCCGGGGAGGCCACCGCGTAGCTGGCCGCTGGCCCGTAGGCAAGGCCATGGCCAACGCCGAAGCCAGTAAGGCCGGAGTAGCCGATTCCATGGCTAAGACCATAGCTAGTGAGGCCAACACCACTGCCAAGACCAACACCACCACCTAGTCCAACACCGCTGCCAAGGCCAGCGCCGCTGCCTAAGGCAATGCCACTGCCTAGGCTGTGACTACCGTGGAGAAATCCAGCAAGAGCACAGGAGGCCAGGGCCAGGCAAACGAAGATACGAAGCTGTGGAATTAATTGACACAGATATATTGCAACACTTGTGCAATGTGGGTAATTTTTTTATAGTTTAATTTAATTATCAGAAAAAAATGGCAATAATTTGGACATCAGATATCTTAGCAGCTTGTTTATACAATTATAGAGGTGTGCAAATGCAACTAGTAAATTTTGTAGATGGTCTGGAAGGAATGATTTAAATCTAGAAAAGGTGGAGAATCATGATGGGAGAGAGGTTTTTTTTTTCAAATATAGTATATTATGAATAGTTTATCACTGAAATGACAGTTCGTGATTCTCAAGATGGTTAGGCAGCTCTGAAAAATCTGAGTAAGACTATGCATACCTTGAAGATATTCGCCAAAGATGTTGTTAAAATGTAGAATATGTAATAGGATCAATCGTATCCTTGCGAATAAAGTACACGTTGCGAATGTGAAATTATGAGAAGTTAATGGCTAAACTGTACGGTGACGAAAGTGTAAAGTTATTCAATTTCGCGGCACTAGATATAGGGCGCCAAAATTACTAGTTATACGAAAGCTTCAGAAATTTTGCACGTGTATAAAGATTGGGAGCGCATCACACTAGACGTACTGCTGTGAGAAGAGATGGTAGCGATGTAGAAAACTGTGAGATAGAGGCAATGTTAGAGTGTACTTGATACTGCTCAAAGAACATGGGGCGGTGCTTGTTGTGTAATGCGTGCTGTAAATAGCTTGTAATCTTAAAAATTTGTCCTAAAGGTTGGAATTGCAGACAGCGATTAGGCGAAGGGTATGATATATAGAGAAATCTTTAAACTCCGAACACACACAATGCTTCTATTTCAGAGTCGCCGAAAACAAACAGAAATCCGCAATTAGCTAAACGCCCAAATTATGGTAAGATCGTGACGCAAAAGGTTTATAGCTGTGAGATTGAGCACAAGTTGTGGGTGTGTTTCTCTTTTCAAACTGATTGTTCAGTGAACTGGGACTGCGGGGGTGAACACAGACACAAAGCAAAGAGAAGGCACACAGCACGAGCGCTCATTTAACAACGACTGGACTAGACTGGAAACCTCTGGTGTCAGCTGAGGAAAAGAAGATTCTGACAGCTGGGCTGGACTGATAGGTAATGCGGGTTAGTTGAGCGCTCGTGTTGTGTGCCTCCTCTTTGCTTTGTGTCTGTGTTTACCCCCGCGCTGCCAGTTCGCTGAACAATCCTGAATTACCAACTAGCCCACTTTTCCATCCTATTGCAATTTTTTCAAACTGTGCGGTGTTAGTCTTGGCTGATAATATGTGCTGAAAAGTTGTTGCCATGTCAAGTAGATATATAATTCGTGCTGGGATATCATCTTACTGAGTTACTACCTGCCAGAGATTATTTGCCGATTACACGCGGATCGAAGCAAGAAACTCTATCTTTTTATACGAACCTGGTAAGGTTCATATAATAAGCTACATAACTTTGTTTCTTTTACCCATCGCAGTAGTCCAGTGGATATGGAACTCGACTGCTGACCCTCAGGATGCGGGAACGAATCCTTGCATGGATGACCGCATTTTCAATGCAGGCGGAAAGGCTCGAGGCACGTGTACTTAGTTATAAATACCCCAGGTGAGAGAAATATGCGGAGCCCTCTGCTACCACATTTCTCATAATCATAAAATAGTTTTGGGCCTTCAAACTTCAACAATAATTATTATTTGTATTTCTGTTGGAATTTGTAACATAAATTGCTAGACAAGATGAAGCAACGGCGAAGCTTCAGTTTGTAAATGGTTTTGCTTCCTGAAGTATAACTAACAATCATCCTATTTATTTGTAAGCTAAACATACCATGGTATCAGTAAAAAAGCCCTTCTGTGATGTTCGCAAAGCAAAGATACAGCATAAAGCGAAATCTTTGGAACAGGTGGAACATAACGTAATCATTTGTTTAAATGTATTTCACCGCGATTTACGTTAAGTAAGAACAGCTAACTGTGGTTGAAATTCTAATAAAGCGAACTGCGGGCACTTAATTCTCTGCACTTTGAAGCTACCTCTGATGCAAGGCAATGCGAACTGTGCTTACCATTTCTGCGGCAGTAGTATCGTTGGGCACACCAAGAAGTGCTGAAGTGGCCCGAACTCCGTGCCGTTTTTATATTCTCTGCGTCAGGAGTAAAACAGAAAAGGAAATGATGCTCAGTGGGAGAGAGACTGCCAAAAAGTTGCAACTTTGACCGTGATTTCATGCTTATATATGTGCACGCTTTAAACAAGAGATCCGGTTAAAAACTTGCTTAGCGTTATATGCAACAGAGAGATTGCAAATCGCCGTTAGCTTGACCTATTGAACCGTCTTGCTCGGAAATTGGAGCTGGAACAGCTGCCCCGTTTAGGCCGAATAACGTTTTACATTCGCCCTCTCCTCCTGTGGTGGGCAAAAGTGATTTAGCAGGAAACCCCCGTGGTAAGGTGAGGATAGGGCAGTTGCCATTTCACGTGGCAAAGGTCCGAGAGAGTTCGCCCGACGGAAGCTTAGCGAGTAACTTGTATTAGGCAACGGCGTAATGCTCAGGCGTCATCGATCTTACGAGAAAAAAATCGAGCGTATAGCGATTACTTCTACTACAGAGGGCAGAATCTTTAGCCTACATTTTTCTGCCGTAAGATTTAATTGGGTGTTTTTTCTATGTTACGGGCTAGAGAATGACCGAATGCCGACAGCTTCGATACGTTACCTCGTTACACAATTGTAAGCGTATTGTGACAAGAATAGCTAGCATCGCAACACTGTAGATCACGCAAGAGAGAATGTGGTGAAATCAATTGAGTTCTGTCTACGTTGATAAATCTTACGCTTCGTTCAAAAGTTCCTGATACTTTTTTACGCGGACTTTTTTGTATCTTGAATGCATTTCGTATTCCCGTTAACGCGTAGTGTGAGCACTACAAGAAGAATGGATGGTAGTAGAGAAGCGATTCGTAAAGTAGAAATACGAAACACTGCGTTTTACAATCAGTCGTTGGGTGCCCAAGAAGCACGCCGTTCGTTAGGAGCGTAAAATTCCTACGATGGTTTTTTAGGGGTAAGGCCATCTTTTCAACAATTACCATATAGCTCTTTCAGAGCATTTATTTTCACTGTCACCGCGCAATTATTGTTGTTTTGAGCTATATATCTGGAACAAAGTGCTTTAAATATTGTCATACTTTCAATAACTGTTGCTTGGTGATGCTAGAATAATTTAAAGAGCGAAGCTTTTTGAGCTCTAGCTTGGCTACGCGATGCTAAACTGATCTGTAATCATCATCATGAAGGGTCTTTACCTTTCAGGGCTATTTGCGCCACCTAGCACCCGCAACAGCTGCACCTTGTGGGTGCCGCGCCATTACTCGGCAAAGTCCTCTTCACATACTGCGTCGCTTCCCTAACACGTGCCACAGGTGTGCGCCGTTCTGTTGCTCCAGTTGGTCCGCTGTGAGACGCAATACACTTATGGTTTAGGCAAAAAGTGAGGAAGAAAGAAAGAATGAGAAGTAACTGTGTAGAAAGAAACCGAAGAGAAATAGAAAGTCGGAAAAAAATTAGACAGAGGGAATATGTGCGACTTCAGAACATACCCCTGGTGAACGTCATACTTATTGTGCTTATTTTAAGGGAAGTGGCTATAGTGTATCTGACATATATCGGTATAGACAGAATTTTTCTGGCCATTAATACAACGAAAGTTTGAATTACGAATGCAGAAATTTTTTTACTGCACATGTTGAGAATGATTTAGAGGAAGTCAATAAGATTCTCGTTCAACATAATTACCATGTACGTGGTGAAGCTTGGGGCTGATTGAACGTTTTGGAGCTTATGTGATGAAGACATGCAGAAGCCATATGCTGAAGAGTTTATAGAAGGCTAGTCGGCATCTATATATTATGACAACTTGGCAGCGCAAAGAAAAAAACGGGACAAAATAAGAAGGTACACAGAAAGCGCATACCCATATGATGAGGTGATATTCGCTGTGATATCTTTCATAGTTTATTCGTACACGCTTAGACAAAAACAGAGACAAATTGGAATGACCGCTGCAAATTAAGGCCTATGAGTACCCGAGCCTTCTAATTATTCTACGCGTAGGTTGAACAATACAAGACGAACTGCTGACGTCAGTAAAGCTTCACCCTTAAGTCAAGTAGCGTGGGCCAGGGAACTTGAATTCTCCGTTTGTGGAAGGTCCAAGTGGATGATGCCACACGTAATGGGTGAAACTTCGCACGAGTCACATTCAGCGGCGCTTTTCACCGATCACATTCTATTGCACTCAAGCTATGCAGATTTTATCCTTGGCTGCTGCATACAACCGTGGCCCAATAACATCTTTGGCGCACAGTCAAGGTTCCTTGCACCAAAAAGCTCAGCGGGCCTCTCGAAAAGCAAGGCGCATTCCGTGTGCTCAAATTGGAGCTTCACTTTGTACGAGAATTGGCGTTGCGCACAACGAACTGAACACTTATATACTCCGCACTGATAGTCTGAGTGACAAAACGGGTGATACGAAAACATAACTTGCCATTAAGTATGAACGCCCTCATACACGTTGTTCAATGTCTTGAGATCCTTCCTCTTTTTGGGCGCAAGCCAAGTGCTTCACTTTACGGACGTGCAACGCTTTGGTGAGTGGTATAACTTGTTCAAGCGAAAAAAAAAACACAAAATTGCGTCAGCCAGCCTTCGGTATTGCTGCACGATAAAGAGTTTGCTTTTCTAGATGATGTTTCTGGATAATCATTCTGCTTTTTCTCTGTCTTCTCGAGCTGTCACGTTGTACTTTTTGCCTACACACGCATGCGTTGTTTGTGATTCCCTGGTTGTATATTCTTCTTTTTCGAAAAATCGTTTATTTGTGAGCACGACATCATGGGTGAAGGAGAGCGCTTGTCCCCTCTTTTGTGTTTATTCGTGCGCTTGAATGACAGTTATACCATGCAAATTTAACTAGCCCAACTTTTGATTCTGTTGCAATTCTTTTGTGAGATTGCATTGTTATTTTTGTCACCACTGGTAAACAGTAAACATTCCCGCATTGTGTCTTGTTTTAGTTTATTTACACTTCTCGTGAGGCAGACAAATGTCACATAAATTGTCATTGTAAGGTACGAAGTTGACAAGAAATACAAGCCGCATAACTTGCATCGCTGTCGTTTGCTGCCACGTAGTCGGCGATGGGGGCGCACTGCGATTGTATCCCCAAGTTTCATGGTGTAAAGTAGCTGTAAGTTAAGTATAGTCGTGCTGGGGATCGATACGAGGTAACCATTCAAAGGCCACAGCACCTAAGTGCAGTTGACAAGGAGTGTTCCTGCCATTGAATGTTCAAGCGGACAGCTATCTCAAGCAATTCCTTGCGTCTCGTTCACATCCGCACTTTAGAAGTCATTGCTGAGTAAACGTGAATTATGCATTGCAGCTTCAATTTCAGAAGATCTTAACGGTGTCGGCACGCGATAATGCCTATGCTCATGCTGCTTTAAACACTTACATGTGAGGAATGTCCTCCCGGTAATACCTACACTGTACTGCGTTAATATTTCTAATATGCGTAGAGACGCATGTAGATGTGTCTTGGTGTGAGCATTATCTAGGATGTAAAAATAACCAAACAAGCGGCAACATGTTCTTTTCGTTTTGGCGTGCCATCAATACCATGACATAAACGCGCAGCCTGCAGCGGCCGCAGAGCTGGCTCGCTTGAAGTACATACTTTGTCACAACAATCTGAGCACCCCTTCGGGGCTCTGAGGTTGCTTGAAGAAAATTTATTGGTAAATTTGGCAGTTCTTAATATTGTAAAGAAGAGGAAGTACTCTGGCCCAGAGGCAGCAGACTGGAGCACGCAGCAGAGGCTTGAGCTCGTGAACTGCTGCTGGTGCATCGCCTTACTAGCAACAACCTTTCCGCTCAATATATCTCCTTCATATTTGGCCGAGGTGCTGGGTATCAAACCCAGTACCTCTCGTCACATCCCAGTACCTCCGGCAAAGAGGCAGCAGCATCGAGCAAGCAGCTGAGGCTCGAGCCTCTGCTGCATGCTCGATGCTGCTGCCTCTGGGCCGGAGTGCTTCCTCATGTTTACAGTATACGTAGCAGCCATGATCATCATTTAACCACTTGGCTTATGGCCGCGCAGTACAGCATACGGATTACCATGAATTCAGGAAGGCGGTGGTGTAGAGGATAGTGGGTACACGGTGGCCTTACCTCAACTTGGGTTGCAGCATATCCATAACGCCGTATTGTTATCGCTACAGTGTAATATTCCGGCCAGTGGGACTGTGGGCGTGTTTAACCATAAACAATTTGTAGGGCTGCTGCAGTACATTGGATTAACAGTCAGGGTGATGTGCGACAACGTCCCATTTTCTTCTTTTGTTGTCTTTTGCTACCCCTTTTGCACCACAGAGATGTGTGGTGTTAAATGGGGATCCAAGTGAGATCGAGAGGCTCAATCAATACGCGATTTTGACAAGTGACAAAATACTCGGCAAGATGTAACATATTTTGGATGCTTCTTGGTTACCTAAACATGACAAATGCAACGCATTGAGAAACCCGTGTGTTCGATTCACTAGCTTCTTTTCACATCTGAAGTGAGCTGCACCTAATTGGTCCTACCACGTGAAACTGCGCGAGCGTTAGGCCTTGTATGCAGCCGAGTCCGCCTATATGTTACAGGCGCTTCTTAATTCAAGTACATGCAATTACTTCGTGTGAAAATGACTTTAAAATACGGTTTGGAAATGCGTTAAACAAAATGAATCATTTTTCTTGTGTATGGTAACCCCACAAGGAGCGCAGACCGTGCTGTGCTGCGCTTTCAGCAATGTACTCAGGCTGGCACCGAAAGCGGCTAACCGCACTTGCCCAGACCTTATCTGACTCATATGTAAGTACACATATTGCAATTTTGGTTGTTTCGTATACCTTAGTGAACAAAGAGATGGGACCAGCGCTTTGTATTTGTACTTTCCTGGGTGTTTTTTTTTTAGATGTAGGTATGGATATAACTGAAAATCAGTATACACCGGTACACCCACTGTACTGGCGTATTGTCGTGTGCACGATGACACTTCGCAGTAATGAGTATTGTGCGCA